ATTACTGATTCCTGCAGAGGCTGTTTCCAGAGGCCTTCTTTCTTGGGCATTGCATTCAGGAGAAAGGTGGCCCCACAGGGTCACAGGTGACCCTGTGAGCATACATCATTGCTAAAAAAAACCTCAGAAGGGCTTGCAAATTGAGTCTTTCTTTTTCCTCTGCATTTCTTTCCTTTGCCTGGTCAATTCTGTGAGAACTGACATGAAAAATTTAAGCAGAAGTGAATTCAGAAAGACTAGGTCCATAATATAATTAGTAACTTTCTTATGCTCCTGTCATAACCAATTAAAAGTTGTAGTGGATGAAAAGATTCTATTCTCAGTATTCTCAGTGATATATACTGAAGATGTACAGTGAAGACACAAAACTATAGGAAGCAAACAGGAACACTACTACAGAGACATAGTTATGAATAAAGACACTGACTGAGATGAAAACACCATACTGTGAAGAGAAATACTAACCGTCAATTTATTAAAAGTTAAGGGTAGTTAAATTTCCAAATTTACTTTTTCTTTTTTGAAATTAGCTTTAAAATTAATAAAATATTTAATCAGAAGACTATTTTGAAAGTAACCTTTAGAATTTTTAAAAAGAAGAATTGGGGTCAGAAAAATGACTTCCTTCTCAAACATTATACTAAATTATGGTAATTAAAATGGTGAGGCTCAGGCAAGAAGAGTTAACAGCTGCCTAGAAGAGAAGGTGCTAACTAAAACTGACCAAAGCCATCTGAAATTTTAGTATATAGCATATGGTTGGTGGGGGGAATGACAAGATCATTACATGGTACTGCGGTAACTGATGCATCATTTTGGGGAAAATCAAGTTACAAGCATTGTGCCTCCCACCAAAATTAATTTCAAATGAGGTAAAAGCGTAAATGTAAATAATGGAATAGAACAAATATAAAAATAGATGCAGTCAGGTGTTGTGGTACACACCTATAATCCCAGCACTTGGGAGACTGAGGCAGGAGAATCACCTCAAGTTTGAGACCAGTTTGGACAATATGAGTTCAAGGCCAGCCTGAATTACAGAGTAAGACACTGTCTCCAAACAACCAAAATGAATAAAAATAGGTACAGTTGGGAGTGGTGGCCACTACCCAGGAGGCTCAGGTCAGAGAATTAAAAAACCCACAAGTTTTCAGCCTGCCTGGATAACTTAGCACGACCTTCAAAGCAAAAGGACTGGGGATGTGTCTCACTGACGGCACACCTAACATACAGGAAGCCCTGAGTTCAATTTTCAGACTACCTAGGAAAAAGAAGTGAATATACAGTATTCATATTATGGTACTACTATCTGTAAGGAAAAGATAACAAATGTGGCTACTTAAAAAATTGTTAACTCAGCATAACAATGCTAAAGTGGTATAACAACAAAAACTTGGAGAAGTGCAGAAATGTAGCAGTAAAAAGGATACTGCTATCTTTGGTAAATTGATAGCTATTAAAATTAAGAAAAGGAGGAACTCTATGATTTAAAAATAAATGGAATTAATGGATTGTTAAGACAATAGAAACACCACGAGTAACCAACACATGTAGAGAAAAAATAACTAAAGAAGTACAAATTACAATGACAATAAGATACTACTTGTTTGAATGGGTAGAGATTTAAAACATCAGCTAAGATGCACTTTTGTTGAGTGTTTTCCTTGATACACATTTTCCCAATGACCCCACCAACACCAGGCATCAAACTTATGACCTCTCATTTGCCAAGCAGGCACTTACACTGCTGAGATAAATCCCCAGCCTTCCCAATGACTTTTTAACAAGTAACTTTTAAAAGTCTATTTTTAAAAATCCTCTGATCATTGTTATTTCTAGAAATGTATCCTAAGGAAGTATTTGGGAAATTCACAAAGGATTTCATGGTAACAAATGTTATGGGAGCAAAAATTGGAAACAAGTTCAATGTCTATTAATAAAGAATGGCTAAATTAAAATACATCCATACAGTGAAATATTAATCCTTTAAAATTGTTGATTAACATGAAAATATATATTGATTAATGTGAAAAAGGCTATCATACTTGCAAAACAAAAGTATTTTGTGAAAAATGTTTAGGGACGTATATATCAAAAATATTTTGCTGAACTGTCAAAAATATTTTATGTTTGGCTTTACCAAAACAAACTTTCTGTTTGGGAAATGCCTCACAGCAGGGGTCTCCTTCTTTGGGAAGTCCTCTCTGTCGGGCTGCTCCCAAGATTAGAGACTCCTGCGGCAGCTATTTTCCCACTGTAAGGTCAGGGGTAGGTGACTGGTCCCCAGTTGGCAAACAGCTCTATAAGGGACCCTCACAGGTGGTACATCTCAGCGCCTCGGCACCTGGCACGTACTAGGTGCCCAACGAATCTTGTTACATGAATGAATGAACAAATCGCCCTTTCTCTGGTGTTTGCCAAAGATCGAAATGGAAGCCTCTAAGTTCGACCCTATCGACCCAGCATGGAAGACGCGAAGATAAGCCTGAGAGTGAACGTTCATATGTGATTCTACCTTTCTCAAGGCACAGCTGCACCGTGCCTCCAGGCAAGTTACCTCACACTCTGAACCTTGACTTCTTATTGGAAGTTATACCTTCCCCAAGGGCTGTGTTCCAAGTAAGACCGCGCACACCGAGAGTGCAGCAGAATTTCAACACACAGTAGGCACTCAAAATGCAAGCCGGTGAGCCCGGTGAGCCCCTTTGGCGCGCGCTCGTCCTGGGCTCAGACGCGCGCAACCGGGAATCCGAGAGACTGGAAGTCCAAGATGCTCCCCGGCCGCCTCCCACGCGCTCGCCCCGCGGACACCAGGACTTGGTCCGAGGAGAGTTGAGGCCGCTGTGGCTCAGGCTGGGGGCTCCTGCCGCGCTCCCAGCGCCAGTGCCTCGGCTCCTGGGTCTTCTTTTGGTCCTCCAAGCGCCCCTTAGCTGGGGGACCAGGGGTCTAGCCTCGAGGGACCCTAGGGCCAGTCTGGGTTCTAGGGGCACCGAGGGTCTCAGGCCAGAGTTGGGTCTTTGTGCCCAGGAGACCACGCCGAGAACGGTTAGATTCTTGGCGCCAGATGGGTGCTCCTGAGTTCGAATTTTGCTCTGTTCTGTACTGTTTGTGCGATGTGGAACAAGTCACTGAACCTCTCCCAGTCGAGTTTCTCGCCAACACGTGGAAAAATAGGACCCGCCGGGCACGTGGTGGTGCGACCTCCGCGGGGCCCCGTGGGGATGCGCCGGGCGGACTGCTCCTCGCAGGAAGACCGCGAGGAAAGCCCAGACTCAGCCGCCTGGGAGGAGCTTTGCTCACTCCGAAACTGTACCTGATCCCGGCCCGGCTGAGGTTTGATCCATGGTTTTGACCACGGAAAGGGCTCATTTCAACTTGGACAGGGACAGCAACCCAGGCTTCTGCTTGTTCACCTGGGACTGCGTGCGGCTGAAGGTCTTAATCAGAGGGACCCCTGAGATGATCTGCAGGAAAGTGTTGTGTGTATTTGTGTACAAGTGTGTGCCGACGCACGAACGCGAGTGTCTGCGGCTGCGCGGGAAGCCGACGACCCCGCGGCCTATGGACCCCTTCTCCCAGAGGCGCCTTCCACGCTCCCTGTGCCCCTTTCCCTGCTGCTGTTTCAGCCGAACTAACGGAATCCAGCGGGCTGGGGAAGAAGTGGAGGCAGGAGGGGCGATTCCGTCCCGGAGCCACCGGTTTGGGGATAATTACTTTTAATGTCAGAAAGATTTAGTTTAATATCATCTCTATTAGGCTGCCGGGAGGGTAATTAAACGGGACGCGTCGCAGCCGGCAAACAGATGGCGTCCGCTCGCTCCGAGGCTGCGGGCACACAGCGCAAAAGTCACCGCCTCCGGCTCTCCCGCGGCGCCCCAGCCCGGGCCGAGGGGCGCCCGCCGCCTGGCCGTCGGGGATCCACGCTGGCCCCGCCCCTCGAGCCTCGGGCCGGGAGCGGCTGGGCGTGGGCGTGGGCAGGAGTGGGCGTGGGCAAGGGCGAGGGGCACTGTCTTGGCCGGTGTTCTCTCCCGGGCCCAGCCCGGGGCACCGCAGAGGCGTCAGCAGTGATGCCGAGCCGAGGACGCGTGCAGCCCTGCTTGCGCGCCGGACGGGCCCTTCGCTCCGGGCGGCCTCGTCTGTCCCGGAGGTCTCCGGCCTGCTTTGCCGCAGGGCAGCGCAGGGCCGGGGTCCGGGGCTCCGCGGGCCGTGGAAGGCGCGCTCCGCGGGGCTGTGCGCCCTGCGGCGGGAGTCTGCGGGTCACCCACCAAGTGGAGGCCCAAGCAGGAGGCCGCGCTGGTGAAAACGAGGTCAAACATTCTGAACGCGCCCTCGGGCAGCAGGGCAGCGTCAGAGGTGCGCGCGGCCCTTACGCGCTCGCCGCGTGTCTGAGTCCGAACCTCGCAGTCAACTGCGCACACCAGCGTCTGGGTGTGAATGTACCCTCAGGGATGTGTGTGTGGCGGGACAGCCTGGGTGTGGTTTCCCACAGCTAGTGGCTCATCTGCCTCACCAGTTTAAAGCAGCAGGCGGGGCCGGCCCCGGGGGTCCCCGGAGGCTGAGCGAGGCATCTACTCAGACCAAGTGTGGGCGCAGGGACGGGTATTCTCCCTCCCTGCAGAACGCTTGAACTTACGTGAGCACCCCAATCTCAGAGGGCGTGAGAGGGAAGGTTGGAGGTCTGGGCCTACGGGGACGTGGTGTGAGCTTCTCGTGGGGAGAAGCAGCCGAAGCAGGGGCAGCAGAACTAGGGGGGAGAGGGTCTCTTCACTTTGGTCCGCGAGGTTGCAGGATGTCCCCGACTCCTCCTAAGAAAAGGTTCCCAGGCCCCTTGGCTCCCGGGAAGTGAGAGGATCTGGCAGTGGCCTGGCCTTAAGCGCGATAAAAGATTTAACCTACTGCAATTTAAACGGATTTGTTTATTTCGTTTTGACTTTTTTTTTTTTTTTTTTTGTACGAGGAATCCAACTCAGGACCTCGCACTTGCCCAGCAGGTATTGTACTGCTGAGCTATATCCTTGTCCCTCGTTTTGACTTTAAAATAATTTCGTGAAAACTTTGCAGGAGAAGCTCTAGGAGCAGGCGCCTAGCGACCCTTGAGTGGCTCCCTGACACTGAGGGGGACCCTCCCAGTTCCCACCCCCGCCAGAGCGCGGCTGTCTCACGGATTTAATCAGCGGCATAACCTCGGGGTGCTGCAAGTTGGGGCTCGGTCCTGTGCTCAGGGTGGACCTATTATCCCAACGCACTGCCTTGGCCTCGCTGCTTTGGGACACCATCTCGAGCTGACTCTTACACCCAAACCCATTCCCAGGCTCCAGAGAAAATGGGATTTCCGGGAAGCAGCGGCCCATTTCTGTCCCTGTCGCAGGCTGTCCTAGTCGCAGCTCCCTGGTGCCCGGGCCTGTTGAACTCTGTCCCCCAGATTCTTCCATCTCTCACCCCATCCCATCCAGCGTTGTCCTTCGGGTTGGCTTCGTCCAGGGGAGAGAGCGCGGCACTCTTGGGGCGCGAGCTTCTGCGCCGGTGGTGGGGTCCTGTCGGCCGCACCTTCCTCGCTCTCTCCGGTTCTGGGGCGGCGGGGCGGCGGGCCCAGGGCCCTTTCTGCGCTCGGGTTTGTCCTGGGCCAGATCCACAGAAAAGGTCGGACGAGCCGCCCTAACACCACGCCAAGTTGGCGATGGAAGGAGAACAACCTGGAGGCTCACTGTCCTCAAATGATTTTTTTCCTCTGAAGGAGAGAGAAAAGTGGAGAATAAAAACAAGCAGGACAGAAGATTAGCTCAGGAAAGGCAAAGGCGGGAGGGGCGGACACCGGGGTAAAATCAGAGCAGGAGAGGCCAGGGCATCGGGAAACAAAATTGGAAGCCTGTTACCTCCTCGGCGGACCCTCCGGGCCGTGACGTCAGCGCAGGTAGCGCGAGGCGCGGCCAAAGCGGCTGCTGCACCGCGGAGAGCTCGGCCCGCGCCGGGAAGGGCAGGTGGACGCGTCCAGGGCCGGGGCAATGGGGAGGCGGACACTTTACTTTCATTTGAAAAAGACAAAAACTTTTCGTTCATTTAAAATAACGACAATAGGAATTCCATCGCCACAGAAAAGAACTGGAGACCAGGAGAAATGAGGCCAGGAAAGAGTAAGGGGCCAGGAGGACACCGCGGGGCGGGGAGGGGAAAGCGCAAGGCTGCTGCTGGGACGGGCGGGAAGCGCGGTCTCATTTCTCCTCTGAGCTGCTCTTTTAAAAACCAAAATCCTAACCACAATTTACCCTCCGTGACGTACCAAGAGTTCCAGAATGAAGGCTCTGAGCTTTCAAGGCAAGGGGGGAGCCAAGCCACCAACTATCCCACGCGCGCCAGACTTGGGAACTCGCTGACCCAGAGCCAGAGGAGGCAAGAAAAACTGTCTTGGCATTTACGCCACGGGTACCCCACCTTGCCCCCAGCTCCACTCCCAGCCCGACTGCGGTAATTGAATTGTCACCTGCCCCTATCCCGCCCCAGGCCGCGGGAACCACTAGGGAAGCTTCGCTTTGCCCAGAGCCGCAGGCCAGTGAGAGTGGCGAGGCCAAGCCGGGCCCCGAGGCCGAGGGGTTGCACACGTCTGGTAGAGAGACGCACCGGACACGGTAATTAGGAGCAATTCACACGCTCCCGGGCGCACGGAAACTTCTTGTCACGATATTTTCAACGCTCTTGCTCGCCCACTTTTTCCCCTGCATCCCTGCCGCGCCCCCTCCCCTCCCGGAGGCGCACGGTGCAGCTTTTGGAGTTTCGAATCTTTCGGACACTGCGGGACGAGGGGCTCCCCGGGCGCGGGCCTGGCCAATCAGAGTGCGGTCTGCCTCCCCTGGCCAATGGCAGGCGCCACATTGTTGTCCAATTCTGTCTAATGGAGCCCTAAGGAGCAACAATAGAGCGGGCGGGCTGCTCATTGAGAGTCTGGCAGCGCCGGGCACCGGGCCCCGGCTGAGCGAAGCGTCCGGCGCACACCGCAAGGGGACGTGGCGCGGCGATAGCTGGGTCCGGGTTCCACCCAGCTGACCCCCCAAACGGGCTCCGGCCCCGTTCCCGACAGAAGGGTTGGACCGCGCCACGTTCCGAGGGAGTCCGGAAGTTCGGACATGGTGACCGAAGGAGGGTGAAGTGTTCAGATAAGGGCCAGGGGCGAGGGGAAGAGGTCAAGAGTGCCAGCGTCAGGAGCAGAGCTGGGAGGCGCGAGCCACGCCAGCGGAGGAGGATCCCGGAGCCCAAGGCAGGTAGTTGAGGGCTGCAGGGACAGCAGCGGGGGCAGACCCGGTCGGCCGCGTCCGTGGAGCAAGGCCTTGCTGGCCCGCAGGGCCTCGCGGACAGAGCAGCCTGGAGGGTGTGGGGGAAGAGGCATCTGGGCCAAGGGAGGAGGTCTGGGGTTTTCGGGCTGGTGGAGGCAGGAGGATTCATCCAGGGCTCCTTCGGGGGCCAGGATGGGGTTGGGGAAGGTGGGCAGAGAAGGCTGCAGCAGAAACCCGGAGCTGGGCCCTGCTTGGGCCTCCTGAGTTTGTGGCGCAGAAGGGACTCCTGTGTCGGTTCTCGGCTAGTGCCAGACACAGCTGTCCTGCCTCGCTGCGGCCTGCGGAGCCATCCAAGTCCCAGAAACCCAGCTCAGAGCCGCGAACTCCGGAACTTGTGCTCCAGCGGGGTCCCAGGGGGTTCCAGGTCTTGAAGGAGGAGGGCGTGTCTGGCAATGGCGTCCCTAAAGTGGGAGGGGTGGGAAGGGCAGCGTGAGGCAGTGGGAGAGTAAGATCCCCTTGGGGGCAAAGCCTGACTTTACCCGGGACACTTCCTTCCCAACTATTCCAGAATAAAAACTCTACCCGAGGCTTGGCCCCAAACCCGCCCCTGCCTCGCTTTACCTAAGAGTCCTCCTTTCTTATTCAGTGTCTCTCTTGAACACCCTGCGTCCCACGCATCCATATCAACTTTTTTCAATGTTTTCCTTGCCTTTCAAACTAATCTTTGGGCTGGGTTTGCCTTTCAAAGAAAGTTTCTTCCCCTGAATTTTCTCTGTACTCTGTCTGAAGCCCTCTAAATTCATCCTGGACACCTGTTTTCTTTGCGCCCCCTGCACAAGACTTTCCAGAGCTCACATTTTTAGGAGATCCATGGCCGGAGGCCTAACTGTGCCCCAGTTTTGTTTTCCAGCCATCATTCTGCTTTCAACAGAAAGCTATAATTTCTATTCTTGATTTTTCTCTGGAACTTTTATATCCCACCCACATTAAAGACAAAAAACAAACAAACCTCTGGCCCAACCTGCTCGGCTGTACACCCCACCATCCACCATCGGTCCCCTCATCTTTCATCGAGCTGAACGTTTTGCTCTGGGGTTTTTTGCTTTGTCATTGGCAACAGCGTAACAGTTGGTCCAATACTGTTTTGTATAATCTGAGTCCCTTCGAGCAAACATTTCTCTCTTCCCACTTCACCCCAATTAACCTAAACTTTTGGAGATAGTTTCTTTTCAAAGTCTTCTTGTAAGAAGACTTTTCATCTGAATCAGTGACTTCCAAACTTTGTCTTTTTATTTTCATCCAGAGGAATCTATTCAAAGAACTCTTACCCCCGGCATGTAAATCATATGTAAGAGCAGCTGTGATGGGAACGCCATGGGGCAGCTCGGATCCGTTTCCAAACAATGCACCTCCTCTCCCAACCTCTACCCAAACTTGTGAAGTCAACCTTTCCTTCTTTAAATTTGGATTCCTCCATCTGTGCTTTAAGCCAAGCACGCAGAACTTTCCTCACTCAGATTTTTCTCTCCTTCCCACTTTCTCCCATATCAGGTCCTGTCATGGAGCTGCGCTCGGAGCTGCCCAGCGTGCCAGGCGCGGCGACGGCTGCAGCGACAGCGACAGGGCCGCCCGTGGCATCTGTGGCGTCGGTGGCGGCGGCGGCGGCTGCAGCCGCCTCACTCCCCGTGAGCGTGGCAGGGGGCTTGCTGCGGGCGCCCCCGCTGCTGCTGCGGGCGGCAGAGAAATACCCTCGGACCCCGAAGTGCGCGCGCTGCCGCAACCACGGCGTGGTGTCGGCGCTCAAGGGCCACAAGCGCTACTGTCGCTGGAAGGACTGTCTGTGCGCCAAGTGCACGCTCATCGCCGAGCGCCAGCGCGTCATGGCGGCGCAGGTGGCGCTGCGCAGGCAGCAGGCTCAGGAGGAGAATGAGGCGCGCGAGCTGCAGCTGCTCTACGGCACCGCCGAGGGCCTGGCCCTGGCCGCCGCCAACGGCATCATCCCCCCTCGGCCCGCCTACGAGGTGTTTGGCTCCGTGTGCGCCGCCGACGGCGGGGGCCCGGGAGCTGGGGCGCCGGCGGGAGCTGGAGGTGGCGCAGCGGGCGCAGCGGGCGCAGGTGAGAGCGCGATCAGGTGGGCCGGGGCGAGGTCCGGCTCTGGGCAGGCATTTGTCTGTACTGAAAGAGCAGAACCCCCATCTTCAAACGCCTGAGGACTAAAGTTCACCGTGCACCCAGCCCTATACGCACGTAAACTCTCCTTTCTCCAGCCGGAGCGCTGGCTCTGTATTCCTCTCCCTCCCCGCGGGCCCAGTGTAGACCTTGTATTCTCATCTCTTCTACCCAGAGGCAGGAGGCCCCTACTTCTCTACTGGCTCGCTGCTGGTTCTCCGGGGTGGAAACCCGCGTGCCTTCTCTCTCTCTGCGCGTTTCCACCCTCCACTCACTCCCGCTGGCTCATCACCTCCTCCAAGTGTCCCGGCCCACACTGCCTTCCCGAGGTGCAAAAGTGCAAGAGGATGCCCTTGTTCATTTTCCCAGTGTGACTCCTTTATTCATGTTGCTAACGCCCCTTGAACAATCTCAGAAGGCGCCCCTTTTCTTTCTAGTTTTTTTTTCCCCCACGCAAGTCCCGGTTTCCTCAGGACATGTGCTGTTTCCCTATCATTGAAGCTTTTTCCTTGTTGCTGTCTACTGTCCCCTAGACCCACCCTCTATCTTCTAAGCTCCTGTGGCCTTTTCTGGGAAGGATGGACATTAGGCAGGCGTGGGGGAGGTACACACAGCTCAGTTGGGGGAGAGCTTCTTAGATCTCGGTTTGGAAAAAGATGATTTAGAAATAGGGATTTGCAGCTGTCTGTGGAGAGACTTGAGACCCCGGATACCCAAAATGCCTTCTCTTTCAGGTTGTGCTGCCCAGAAGGGTTGGCTCTTGGAATCCAGAAACGCAATAGGGTTTTCTAGACAGCGTGAAGGACAGGGAGATATTAGGTTGGCTCCTTTCTGAACCCAGCACCAGGCCACTTTTCCTGGGCAGGTCGGGCGGGAGAGAGAGAGGATTTGGGGTGTTGGGACACAGCAGCCCAGAAACATTAGAAGGCACAAATGATTGTGTTCCGGGTATAAAAAGAGCAAATCAGGGATGGTAGGGGAGAGGACTGAGGGGACCAGAGGGAAGAACGCTGGAGCGAAAGAAAGAAGGGCACAGTGAACCTTGGCTGGGGCTCAGAGAGAGGAAACGGATGCAGAGTGCTGAGGTGTTGCGGGCGCGCTCTTCTCGGCAATGGCGCCTTACATCCCTGTTTTCTCCCCTCTCAGAGGCCAAGTTGCAGAAGTTTGACCTGTTCCCCAAGACACTGCTGCAGGCAGGCCGGCCGGGCAGCCCGCAGCCTCCGCAGGGGAAGCCCTTATCGCCAGAGGGCGCGGACTCAGGGCCCGGGACGTCGTCCCCGGAGGTGCGACCCGGATCGGGCTCGGAGAACGGAGACGGCGAGTCCTTTTCGGGGTCCCCGCTGGCCCGAGCTTCCAAGGAGGCGGGCGGCAGCTGCACGGGCAGCTCCGGCCCTGGAGGAGGCGGCGAGGAGGACAGCCCGGGCTCCGCCAGTCCTCTGGGCTCTGAATCCGGTTCCGAGGGTGACAAAGAGGAGGCCGACGCCGCGCCGGCGCCGGGGCTGGGCGGAGGGCCGGGCGCACGCCAGCGGACGCCGCTGGACATCCTGACGCGCGTCTTCCCGGGACACCGGCGCGGCGTCCTGGAGCTGGTGTTGCAGGGCTGCGGCGGCGACGTGGTGCAGGCCATCGAGCAGGTGCTGAACCACCACCGCGGGGGCCTGGCGGCCGGCCTGTGCCCCGCGGCGCCCTTGGATAAGGCCGCGGTGGGCGCGGCAGCAGCTGCGGACGACGCGTGGCCGGGTCGCGCGGACGCCGCGGCTGCGGGGGGCCCCGGGCTGCCCGCGCCCCTGCAGGCCGGGCCCGCCGCGCCCCCGCACCACAGACCCTTGCTGGCCGGCGCCATGGCCCCCGGCGCGCTGGGCTCGCTGAGCAGCCGCTCGGCCTTCTCGCCCCTGCAGCCCAACGCCAGTCACTTCGGGGCCGAGGCGGGCGCCTACCCGCTCGGCGCGCCCCTCGGCCTCAGCCCCTTGCGCCTGGCCTACTCGGCGGCGGCGGCGCACAGCCGCGGCCTGGCCTTCATGGCGCCCTACTCCACCGCCGGCCTGGTGCCCACGCTCGGCTTCCGGCCGCCCGTGGACTACGCCTTCAGCGACCTCATGCGCGACCGCTCCGCCGCCGCGGCGGCTGTGCACAAGGAGCCCGCGTACGGCGGCGGGCTCTACGGGCCCATGGTCAACGGCGCCCCCGAGAAGCAGTAGGCGAAGGGCCCGCAGCCTGTGGCCCGCAACGCCTGCCCTGGCCCGGTCCGCGGGCCGCGGCCCTGTGCCTTGGCACGCTCTCCACCCCGCCTGGGGGCCCCCTGCCCCCCGAAGCCTTGCTGGTCCGTCGGGGCGGAGTGGAGAGGGCCGGCGAGGGGAGCAGCTGCAGGCACAGGTGCGCGCGCAGGGCAGCGTGCTCCGGGTCCTGCCCCTCCCGGACACCACCTGCAGGCTGCACAGCCGCGTTTGCAGAGGACCGAGGATCCCTGAGAGTCGGGCGGCCGCCGCGCTCCCGCGGCTCCTGCAGGTGTGCTCGTCTCGCTGGCTGAGTTCTCAACTCCGAGATCCTATTCTATGTTTCCCTAGGCCCTCTCTTTTACATTTTTAAAAAAATATTCTAACAAATATAAATTTAGGATGTATACATCTCTTGGCACTGAGTTGAGTCTTTGGGACACACATATATATCCATATCAATTGTAAAAAAAAAAAAAAGGAAACAAGTTCTAAGGTGCACTTTCCTTGTCGCGGTGTTGTCGCTCTCTTTGTTGCTTATGCCGATAAGCATGGGTTTCCTTGGTGCAGTGTGAGTTTTTATATATGTATAAATCTATATATAATCTATACATATATATATATACAAGCCAGTGTATAATGTTATAAAATGGAATTCTAAGTTATTAATTGTAATCTGTAGGTGACCTCGGTATTAACGTGAAAAACATTCAAAAACGAGCATAAAAAGGACAAAATGGAAAAATTAGACTACGCGCACATTGTCCTTATCAGGTTTCATAATTACATATACTGCAGTCTCGGGACGAATCCTGCCCACCCGCCCTCTGCCTGCCGCCAGTCTCTCCCTCAGGAGCCGCCTTGGTTCGCCCAGAAGCAGGCACCGAGTGGCCACGGCCGTGCCAGAAGCATCACGCAGGCGCCCTGGTCCCCCGCGGCTTGCCGAGCGCGCTGGCCGGAGGTCTGCAGTGAGAAACGCTGCTGCACAGAAGCGCTCACTTTGTGCTTTCCTTTGCATAGTAATGAACTAGAAATAAATGTTATTTTCTAAGAAAACAACGCCGAATCCCGTCCCCCTTCTCAGGCGGAGGGTAGAAAAAACTCTTTAATTTGCGCTGGGGCCGTGGTTGCCAAGAAGCACCTTGACCGAGGTGCTGCCCAGGACTGGCCCCAACCCTCGGGTAGGGAGCGCTGCCTGCCTGAGGGGGCCCAGAGCGCAGGGACCCGACGCACCTGCTGTGCGACTGGGGACCCGCGACCCCTTGGCGGGAGCTGTGGCGGGGTCCCCTCGCCAAACTCGCGGTTCGGGACCCAGGCCGAGCCTTCCTGCGGGCTGATGAGGCCGGCTCTCCCCCGGGCGCAAACAGTGCGCGCCTCGCCTCTTAGGTTCAGAGTCAAGGACAGCGGGGGTGACCACCAGGGAGCCGCCAGAGACAGTTCTAGTGGCAGGGCTGACGGCCCGGCGTTAATCTGGGGGTGGGAGGCCACTGCCTTCGCCCGGAGCAGCATTGGGAGAGTGGCTGTGAGTCTGTCCCACACCTCCTCAGCTTCTTTTCCAGAGCAGAACTCAGCAAATTAGCGGCCCCGGGCAGACCCCTTCCCTCCTGCTCCTCCTGCTCCCGCAGGGCGGCTCCCCTTATCTAGGCCAGACCCAGAAAGTGGAAACTGGGTGCCCCCTCCCTAGGCCGGACAGCCGATGTCCCAAGGTAAACTTCTGTGGCCGGCTCGAGTTCCGCCAGGCTGAGAAACTTAATAGCAGGACAAGAAAACGGTTTAATAAAGAAGGGCTTTAATAGGGAACTAATTTGATTGAGTTGCCTAATTCCACTTTAATTGGAAAAGGGGTTTGGCTGTTTGGTTATAAAATGCGAGGGAGACATGGAGATGAAGTGGGGGGAGAAGGAGACAAGAAAGATGCGGGCAGGAGAGACGCACGAACACACCCCTGAAGCTAGGGAGGAAAGAAGGTGCAGAGGAGAAAGAGAAAAGGGAAGCCTTAGACAGAAGAGAGGGAGGAGGAGGAAGTGCGCAGCTTCGAAGTGCGGCACCCGACACCTGCCCCAGGCCAAGTTTCCTGCGGGCTTCTGGCCTCCCAGCCCGCGGCTTCTGCCGCCCTATCCCAGCTCCCCTGCACCCTAAGAGCCGCTACGAACCGTCCGGGCCTCCTGGCGTCGGGTGAGACCTGCTCCAGGTCCCTTGAGGCTCCTGGCCTGTGGGTCACCCTCCTAGTTCTGGAGCGCCTGGAGATGGCGCGGGTTACTTTTAGTCTATTCTCATAGCAAACTTGGGCGAACCCGGAATCATTCATTACCGGCCCCATTTTACAGGACAGGAAAACGAGGTCTAGGCTGGTCCTAGGCCCTGCCCTACTGCCTGGCTCGTCCCTCTCCTCCTCCTCTCAGAAGCGTCCTTGTGGGCCCAAGATGGAGACCCGATCACGGCCCAGCGTGGGACCGGCCGTGGCCAGGCCCGGACGGCTTCCGCACCCTGCTCGGCCCCCTCCGGGCCGGTGGAAGCTGCGGACTGAGGGCCGCTGTTCCCGGCTTCCGCGCCTCCCGCCCCAGGCAATTTGTATGATCCGGGGAGCCCCGCGGAGACCCCCCAGCCTGGCAAGGTCCTGCGCCCGCGCGCCCCTGGCCCGCGCCCTGCCGTGCGGTCGGGAAGAGGCGCAGACCCGCGTGCAAGGCTCGGGGCGCTCTTCCCGGCCCCCGCCAGCCCTAATGGAGCCGGCGCTCCCCGCGGGTGCAGGTGGCAGGGGTGCGAGGTGCGGGGGAGGGACCGCGCGTGGGCCCCGCATGCAGGGAGCGTGGGGTGCCCGGCACGGAGAGGCTCGGTCCGGGGGGAGCCTGGCCGAGTCCACCTTTTCTCTTTCCCTCCCGGGACTGCGCACGGAGCGGGTTTCCCTCCTGGAGCTGCGCTGTCCACGTTGTGTCCAAATTCTGCGGGACACCAGCCGGGCCCTCGACCCTAGAAGACACAGACCAGAGCCGCCAGCCGGGGGGACAGCCTGGGGCGAAGCTGTCCTTTCCAACACCGTCCCCGGTTCCTCCTCCCCCGCTCACGCAGCACCGAGCGCCTGCTGGGTACCAGGTCTCGGTTCGCGGTCCGGATCCGCTCTGAGCCGGAGAGAGGCCGGGAGCTGGGCGGACTACTGCACTCGGTAAATATTTACGGAGCGCGTATTGCCCCGGGCCAGACCCGGTTCTAGGGCCTGGGGATACGCCAGTGCAGCGTCGGCTTCTTCCCGGACGCCTCGGGGTGCAGGGGACGAAGGGGGCGCGGCCGGGGAGCTGCCCCGACTTCTGCCTCCTTTAAACGGTGCTAATGGCAAGGCTGGCTCTGCGGGCGCTGGAGGATTAAATGAGATCATGTGTAAAAGGTCTTAGCTCAGGGCTTGCCCACTACATGTTCACCTCGCTCCAATCGTCCCGTCTAACAGAAGGAAGACGCACAGAGGGGTTGGGCGGCGGGCATGGGGTTTGCGTCACAGGTTATGGAGCTCCAGGGCTAGACGCTTTGCCCAGTGCCAAGGGCCACGGAGACAGGGAGAGCGTGGTTCTGGGACCTTCTGGGAGCAGACGGGCAGTCGGCAGCAGGTGGGACGAAGTTGCCGAAGGACTGAGGAGGGGAGACGCCGCAGGCCCCTGAGATGGACCAGACAGGAGCCAGGTCGCAGAGCCCCGCCAGTCCTGGGAATCATGTGTGCAGACAGAGGAAGGCAAGCCGGTGAGATTCGAGTTTGGGTATGGTAGGTTATTAGGAAAAAGGCTGAATCCCTCTGAAGAAAAGCCATGAACAGTGATGATGCTGAAAAGTGGTCAGTGGCAATAGGAAAAGGGAGAGAAGATGTCCCTGGAGAACCGCTGGGGCCCAGACTCCAGGCCTGTTGGTTCAGCAGCGGGAGGAGTAAAGGAGGAGCACTGTGGCACCCAGAGGTCTGAGCCCGGAGCAGAGACAAGACTGGAGGGTAAAGGAGAAGCTCGACATGGAAGGGCCCCTGGGTGAGACATCAAACGGCAGAGAGAGTCAGCATTGAGATTGCAGCCGGGCCTTGGGAGAAGGGAAGTGACCACTACATCCCCTCCCAACCCCAATCCCTGCCTAGCCAAGGGATAGCAGAGACTCTTAGTGGAGGCGAGGCTTAGGAGGCAAGTTGAGGCCCCAGACCCAGGTTCTGCCTCAGGCCATTTCTGTTTATGCTAAGAGGCCTCTTAAAATCATCCTCTTAAAACTGTATACCCAGTGAAGATCGGCAATGAAACCTCGGGCTCCTCACCTGTACTGGACCTTCTCATGGTCCTGTACTTTGCATACATGTTCAGGTGATGTTGTTTTTTCTTGAAGCTTCATGTACCATTAAAACTACATCTGAGCTGGGTATGGTGGCACATGACTCAGGAGGATAGCAAGTTGGAGCTTAATTTGAGCAGTTTAACAATTTAGCAAGACCCAGTATCAAAATAAATAGTGACTGGGGATGTCAGTGCAGACTGTGGGTTCAGTCTGTACTACCAGGAAAAAACACACACACACACACACACACACACACACACACACACACACACACACAGAGGGGAGAGAGAGAGAGAGAGAGAGAGAGAGAGAGAGAGAGAGAGAGAGAGAGAGAGAATACTGCATCAAGCGCTCTCCAAACTGCCCAATTTAAGCTGCCTGTTACTGTGAGTTATTGTTGTGTAACAAATGACCGTCAAATTTAGTGGTTAAAAACAAGAAATACCATAATATATAATGATTTTATGGACCCGGAATTTGGCTAAGGCTTTGACTTTTTGATGGAATTGATCTGATGGATGTGTTGGTCTGGAGGGTGTGCAACATTTGTCACAATGTCCAGGGCGTTGGGCAGCTGGGATCAGTTGGAGGGTTTCTTGGAACATGTAAATGGAGCCTGTCCCTCACTGTAGCCTCAGAAATCATATTTGCTCAGGCTCTAAGGCAGATATTCTAGCAGAAAGTAGAAGCTTATAGCATAATAGGTCAAAGACAGTGACAAGACTTTCAACTGATTGACACCCAAGTCATACTGACCTGAACGGGGGAACTGATTTCTCTTCCTACTTCTTCAAAACTCTTGTAACCAAAATTTCCAGTGTATCTCAAGAATAACAGGGATGAGATGCTCAGATACCACCCACTGAGTTGCTTTCTCTGCCTCTTGGCCCAGCTATATTCTCCATTGACTTTAAATCCAAGTGAAGAAAGTCTCTCCGTGATCACCAGTAGCCTCGGGCACTTTTTCTGTTTTCCCTCTTGTAGATAAACAGCATCTCAGAGGTGACTCATTAAGTATAATTTGTCACCCTTCTGATCCAAAACTAATCTCATGACTGCTGAGTTGGGTCTAATCCTTGGTTTTGGAGGCTTCTCAGGTCAATCAAACCTCAGGAACAGGTGTGTGTGTGTGTGTGTGTGTGTGTGTGTGTGTGTGTGTGTGTCTGTGTGTCTGTGTGTGTCTGTGTGTGTGTCTGTGTGTGGATGTAGGGAGGAGCAGGGAGAATGGGCACCTTCCCTGAGACCAGTGACGGGGCTTCTGCAGGGGACAGGGCCTGTGGGAAAACCATGGTTTTAGGGTAGCTGACCGTGTGCCCGCTTCAGCCCTCCAGAGTCTCTGTTTGGCACGCATCGTGGGCTGTGAAATGGCCATGGGACTGTACTGGAACGAGCATTTACTGACTGTGGTACTAAAAGACTAATATTTTGTCTTTTTTCCCATTTTTTTTTTAAATTTTGAAAGCGTTTTATTATGAAAGTTTCAAGTGTATGAGAAAGTAGAGCTTAATTTTATAAAGTCCTTAATAACTACCAACATTTTACACTATTTATTTCACATAATTTTTATTTTATGTATTTCAAAGTAAAACAAGTGTGGTTGACAAGTGTTCTACCATCGAGTCACACCCTTGGCACCTAGGACCTTTTTTTTTTTTGAGCCTGGTTTCGCATATATCTTAGGCTTGTTCAACTGACAATTCTGCTTCAGCCTCCTGAGTACTGGGAGTATAGGTGTGTGCCACCATGCCCTGCTGACATTTTCTTAA